GGGAGGGTGGCGGAGGAGTACCAGAGGGAGGAGAGAGGAGAAAGGTAAGGGGGAAGGAGTGGCGGAAAGGAGAGTTGTCAGGTCTGAAGGTGAGTATCGGAGCGGATGGGGGAAGCATAGGAGGATGACGGGAGGGTGGAGGTGTTGTGAAGGAGGAGCGGAGTAGGAGGGTGGAGAAGTAGTAGGAGGGTGGCGAGAGGGGCGGTGTTCGGTCCGAGGTGAGTATCGGAGCAGACGGAGATAGGGGAGGAGAGGGAAGGAGGAGCAGAGGTGGCGTGGGGGGGTAGAAGGAGGTGTGTTGCCAGGACCGGAGGTGAGTATCGGAACGGCAGCGGTAGGGTATGACTCCGGAGGTGAAGAGGGTGGAGGTCCGGAAGTCGGGTCGGGGTTGGGTATGCACGGATATGACAGCTAATGCTCCTGAAGCGATTTGTGCAATTACAACCAGTATGATGCTTTGATTCAATTGTGTTCAGGTTCTGATTATCATATAGGCGATTATGCATTTTGTCCAGCATGCTGACCAAAAAAGCTCTGTCCCAAAAGCAAGAGGCTGAACTCCCAAATACCAATCATGGGTATTCACAGATGAGGATTGGATTATGATACAGCGTATCATTAGGGGGTTTCATGGTAGGCCAGATTGGTCTAAACTGAACGACCAGACTGAGTCTAGATTGGATAAGATTGGTCCGAGTTTTGAGGCAGACTTTAGTCGCAGTTTAGACCAAACCAAAAGTGTTCACAGTGAAGGGGTCTAAACTGAAGTCTAAACTCGATTCCTGTCACATTCCTTATGTCCATTGATGAGTCAGGTGATCCTCCTTGTCCTTGTCTGTTGGCTGGCTGTCTTCATGTCCGATATCAACAGCAACATTGAATATGGGAATTGGTGAACCCATCATCCTGTTAGGATCTGCAGTCCCACTGGTGGTTAGGGACTGAAGGCCCACTAGGCACTCAATTGCTGACACAGTGTGTCTATGCCATGCAAGTGATTTGTTGTAACTCAGGTTATGGCACCTCTGAGGATGACTTTAGTGTTTATACAAGTGGTAGAAACAGTAAAGTCTGACTCAGTAGTCATGTGACTCATATGGAGTGAGATTGAATAGAAAGAAAAGGATAACTTCAACATGATTGCCCACAACTAACTTCATGTTGTCCTTTGTGTTTCGCTTTTTCACTTTGATTATTATGTATGGCAACAGTGGCATAGTGCCCCCCGATTGTATGATGTTTTGGTCCTCAGGTAGGGGATCCTTATGCTTACACTTACAGCCTGTCGTTATGTAGCACTCAGTGGGGACACTTGGATAACAGGAAAAATGATCATAACGTGTAACTGTACAGCAATGAACTAATAACAAGACATCAGACACAAGTAATGGAAAATGGAACATGAAAGGATATGGTATGCACAACTACACGTGAAACACTGTAGCATCAAGACAAAGGTAGAAAGGGGTATGATATCTACTAAAGATATGAGCATGAAGTGCATACCGGTACATTGTCATGGCTTGCTCCTCCAACACAGTCCCTTGGTGGCATATCTGTGACTGGGTCTGATGGACAAACAGTAGGATGGGAACTGGGGATATGTAGATAACTGTATTGGAACAGGAACTGTACAGTAGTGTAGCATGCTGGCAGAGTTTACAAATATATAGGCCAGTCTTAAGTTGAATCTTGGGTCAGTTTAGACCATTTGGGACATGTGAGCCTCAACAGCTAAACTGGCAAAACTGACAAGTTTTGATCAATCGTGGGTCAGTTTAGGATTTCAGTTTAGACACCTGTTTAGACCAATCTTGCCTACCGTGAAACCCCCTATTGATATCCTAGAGGTAAGAGAGCAATATAATTTCACTAGGAAACTCCCATTATATTTATGACAGCATGTAATCAGGTTGCTGGCGATGCACAGCAAGCATTCTCAGGGTCAGATATCCCCAGTTTCTCCCACCTCCTCTCTGCATATGAAGATATCATGACCTCATGGGAGTACTATGATGCCACTGATGAATCGCCCTTAGTGGTGCTGAGTACTAGTATGTGCCAAATCATACATCTCATATCATTCTAATGTCTTTTTTATCACAAGTCCTTGACCCCGCAACAAAAGATACATACTTTGGGCTCATATCAACCAAGGGCAATGGATGCTGGGCGAAAGATCGTTAGTTTTTTACTTCCCATTTCCCAGGCCTGACTGAGCCGCTTTCAGTTCCTCGAATACCGTGACCATCGAGCCCACATCACTCCTGTGACTCAGTCCTCGGGAAGCACTATTCCACCTGAGGCCACGAGATTGTCAACATCGGTGTCATCTGTGTCACAAACATTTGCCAATCACGTCGTCTTGCTGCCAGCCAGATGCGCTGTACTCAAGAGATCGAGGCTGGCGATCCATACATTGAGCTGAATCGCTACATGAGCGATGTTCTTGAACCACCTGGTACTGATATGCTGGATTTTTGGAAGGTACGTATATTAACTTTAAAAATCCTTGCATCACACTCAGCAGGCTCTATGATACATAGAACAGGGGCTCTGCATATCCAGTGTTGCAAACAATGGCATCATCAGGAAATTGTTGCGGTCAACTTTGGACACTTCTGATGATCCTGTTGCTTCTAATACAATGAAACTGGCCGAATTGACCAATTTCCCAAAGCATTTTGGTAAAGGTGCCACGTTTCAATTCAGTTCAGAAGTGAACTCAATTGTTTTCAAACCATTTGAAGTGAAACCCTGAGGACCTTTTGCTGATGATGGGACATTCTTCCAGTCCCCAGATCATCTGTACCATGTGAGCGGGCATTATCGGCAGCTAAGCATACCGATACTGGGAGCTGCAATCGCCTGCTACCTGAACACCTTGGCCGGATTCAGATCCCCAAAGCCAACCTGCTACGATATCAGCAGGAAAAGAAGGATGCAAAAGAAATGGCTGCTCAAGAACAACTCAAAAGGTGGAAAGAATATGAGGCTAAGGAGACAGCAAAGTGTGCAGAGGATGTATAATACTTCTATTAATTCCGCTGTAAATACATCTCATTATAGGTGTCTGTTCGAACCGCTTCGAACCCAAACCGAACTGTTGTTGAACCATGTTCGGTTCAGGTTCGGCCTTCCCATCCTCTTTTTGAACCGGTTCGGGTTCAGGTTCACGGGATTCTACCTCTGAACCGAACCATGGTACCCCTAGGTTACTACAGGTATGATCAGAGTTGTCTTGATACACCTAGCTCATTTTTCAAGGACAGTAGCAGCAGGGTTTCTGATGACTGACTACCTGAGTGGATCTTGCGAAAAGCAGTCCTATTGAAAGGCAGGGGTTCTCTTACTAACTGACGTGCTACCATTGAAGACACTGCCCACAAAATGCAACATTTCCGACCCCACTGTTATTTTCAAGTTCCCTACTCTCTGACGAAATGCAGCACCCCTGGCCATCCAGGTGCGGGGGGCCTGTACTCTGGCTTTGGCCCTGTGGCTGATTCGCTGGAGTTTGACTAACTGTCCCTAGAAAGGGACCCTGCGCGGCTGGCCGTTACAAGGCTCAGGGTAGGTATATAGGATGTAGAGATAGAAGAACGGAAGCCACAACAACCTGAGTTCTCTCAGGTGGCTTCTACATCATGATATCATGATTCATTTGTCATGAGGGCATAAGGTCTATTCAGCTCCTTAACGTGTATTGCAATCCGGCCATCTTATCCTTATCATGCATAAGTTTGACCCAGGATACGAGGATAAGTGATCGTGCCAGATCCATGTACTTATAGGACACACCATCGGTGTTTTGGTTCTGATGCTGCATGATCTGGCCGAATTTCCCGTTGAGAATAGTACGACTGCGATATTGTGGCAACATGACGATGTTGAAGGATTGACTTGAATAGTGAGACTACTTATTGCCAAGTAGCATCTCTTATAGCACCTATATCGCAGAGGGTCACCTTGATGTAGACACCCTATCGGTTTGCCATGATTGTCCCACCAGATTGGACCTGTCCAGCAGCATGATAGATGTGGATATGGGATGTTCAAACACAAATATCCCCCGACCCCCATAACAAGACCCCGAAGGTATGAAATAAGTTGGTAAGCTCGGGTGTGATGAAAGGTTGCTTGGGAGTGTATTACAGGTTCAATGGATGTCTATGCAAAAGCGAAACATTGCATAGATGTCAATTGCCATCGATGAAGAGGGGCTCATTCTCTGCACTGTCAGGGTTCAACACCCTGCCCTAGGGTGCCCCAGACTCCCCAACCAATCCCTTCCTTCCATTCCTTCATTGTTGCCTTGTTGTTGCCTTTCTGTGTTGTGTATCCGCATGCACGGGATAGCGTGGGAACTTTCTGAGCAAGCAGCTCACCCAGGACATTCCCACGGGTCACAGCCACAGTTCTGGGTGAGCAACTCACCCAGAACGTTCCCACGCTTACTGGGCACTGCCACCTGGATGTTCCCTCCGGGTCACACTACACAACTCTAGGAGCTGTATAGTTGTGGGCATGTGACCCATTCCTTTATATAGCAACCATGCGGGGAGATGAGACCTTTACCCTTCTTCTCATCTCATGCCCTGCATAGGCAAGTGTATATATTCCCTTTCTTTTACTATACATCTCATGCCCTGCATAGTGTGAGGACAGGTTAGATGGGAGTTGAGGTCAGGGAGCCTCCGAGTCCGAGGCCGGGCCCTGACACGCGCAAGCCGGTGGCCACCCTGGATCAGGGGCCCAGAGAAATTTGACGTACGGATTATGGGTGTCCAACCACCCTCCGACCGAGTCTGTCATGGAATCACTTTCTCAGTGAATTCATTATTATTTACAACAATGGCGATGGTACTATGCAAGGCAGTAGTAATCGAGAAATCAGCAAGCATTTGATGAATGGGAATTTGACATGCAGCATTGATTTTTCGAATCTCAGCTTACAAAACAACAGTACATTAGTTGGTGCAAGAACATGCAGCATTGTATCAGGTAGCTAGCACCTCAAGCTTATGCATGAGTATGTCATCATCAACGAATGGACCCCCAAAGTAGACAGGAACTTGGGTCATGTAATCGTCATCATCATCCTCCAGATATTTATCAAACACTTCCGTGGCACCTGAGGCTGCAAAGACCCGGGCAACAGATTGCAAATCCGAGGGTCAGGTAATGGAATCTCATTGCCACCAATTCCCTGCCCAAATTCCATTTCATCCCCATCACGAAGGTAAATGGTAGCTGCTACTTCCTTTGGTCAAACGACTCGGAAATAATAGTTCCACTATTCACTAAATTAGATTAGGGTCGGACCAATTTGCATCATAACCTACTTTATGATCGACTAATCTGGCCTCGATCCCCCAGGCTAGTTTCTGATCCATTGAATCGTGGGCATCAGTTTGGATATTTATGGCATTAGCAGGATGGTTTATGAGTTGCTGAACGAGCTTTGCGTTCAACATCTGGCTGGTGAAGGTCTCAATCGCAGCATGCGCATAAGTCTATGCATGAATCAATGGAAAATAGTCCTTGGAAAGTGGTTTCTACCTTGGAATGGATGGAAAATGGGATGATGTGTGCGCAGTGGGGTACTACAACCCTATCATCACCAAGAAAAGCATAACGGGTAAGAGGGCAACAAGTCCTGTCACGAAGAAAGACCTAAAGAGTATTTTCAGAGAAGCTCTTAGTCACGATCAACAGTAGATGGAAATGCACAAGGTCTCTCAAAGCCGATTGACTTCGACGAACTGTGGCTGACTCTAACAACGATGCAATATCTTCTATATGCCTAGGGTTGGGTGTAGGAAGTATGGAATATTGAGGGGTCTTTTTTCCACCCGGATTTCTGACTAGGAAAAAGTTACAAGATAAAAATGGAGATTTTGCGCCCTTACATGCGATAATAAGATGAGTCAAGTAGTAACTTGCAAGTTCTGTGAGATACGTGGTATTACTGTTATTCTGTTCAAGTTCTTGATGTACAATAGCTGCCCAGTCATCCAAATTGACAGAGCGATCGTTGTCCAAGGCATCGACTTAGGGCAACCAAAATAGGTATCACAGTCATGTAAAGGAAGCAGGGGCATTCTCACCGAATCCCTTCACAGCCAAGATTCCGCACTTCCGGAGCTCCACTGAAAATTCTCCAGTGATTGTTTCCGAAGATGGGGAGTACTCGATAACGGCTTCCAGGAGTTTGTGAGCTGGCACGTTGAAAGTTGAGGATTGTGTTCCGTTGCGACTAGCGAATCCCAGCAGTGGATGTTCCACGTTGTTTCGCTTTCCCATCACCTTCAGGAGCACTAGGGCATAAGACTCTAAAGGGGGACCTGCCATGTCGAGAGGCCCAGGGGCAATTATTGTTGTAGTAAACCTAAAACATTCCCCCAGTACATCCCGCAAAAATCACGTGTTTGATGAATTTACAGAAATATGAAAATGATATATTTTTTTGAATCCACCAATTACAACATGAAGAAATGAATAGGATGCAAGCGTGAAGTGGGAATTGCTAAGGCCAGAATAAGTATTCATATGGATAAATTGGTTGATGGTTGGCTTAGCACCTACTGCTGGCTTCTCTTTGTTTCTGTATCTACAGTAGTGGACACACATGAAGAAATTCATGTTGCTAGCGCTATAGACCTATGTCATGAATTCAACTGACGTAAACTAGGTGACTGGACGAATGACATAAAATGGACAAACCTGGTATTGAACCCAGGACCTCTAGTGTGCATCCATACACTACTTGCCCTTTATGTGTTAGAACTGGGTGAGGGCAGACAATTCTGGAGGGGAACCGGAGACTTAGCAAGGAGGGACCTTGGCCTCAGCGACTCAAGTGGAGCGCTGTGCCATTGCTGTTTGTCCATTTGGTCCTTAATTTCATAGGTGGCGAGCAGGAAGTCTCTAGGGGGCATTTCAGGTCAATTTTAGACTGAAGGTCCACAACGAGTATGTACAAGCGCCAGTATATAATGGGGAGGGCAAAAGCACAAGGGGGTCTGAGTCAGAACGAAGGCATCTGAATGGGAACAAAGGGATGACAGAAGCGGAGTGGTACTGAAGGTCATAGGGCAGAACCTGTGGTACTGTCATATCCATCCCCGGCCATCGACTTCCGGTCCCTCCGATCCCTCCGTTCCAACTCCGCTCCTCCCTCACTAACCTCGGAGCCCCCGTTATTCCGCAATCCTCTCGGTACCCCTCGATGGTCACCACCCCCTCATTTCAATTTATTACCTACGCCTCCCTAAGTACGGAGCCCCGAAGACTTCCGGACAGCTCCGACGTCCGCTAGCACACCCCTGCCTCCGCTGGGCAATACAATCGCCTGCCCTGCAGAGCCCACCTTCGGGCTTATCCCTCCTTTCCGCTAACCCCGCGAACCGACTCGTCAGTAATATTCAGTCGGCTAATGGTTAAACCCCGTTAGCTCCGCTCTGTTCGGCTCCACCAATTGCGGAACCGTCTCTGCTGTAACCATATATATATCCCACTTGTACATAGGTTACGCCCCAGTAGAAAAATCAACTAGAGTTACCCCCCTAGGTTCTAATTGCCAGTCAGTAAGTTAGGGCACGGACGTGTCACTAGGCACAGCGCTCTTGGCAGAAGTCACTGAGGCCGAAGCCCTCCGCTACGGAGACATTCCTTCGTCTCGAATCTGGTCTCTGACAGGTACATCCGAAAGGAGGTAGGGAGGGCGAAGCCCAGAGGGGCAGGAGGATGAGGTGAAGTGGGGATGATGACTAACTGACTAGAATGGGAAGAAGCAGCAGTCCAAATAGGGATGAGGGGAAAACGCGAAAGATACATTACAAGCAGCGAAAGTGCCGAAGAGGATCCATGGAGCTCGGAGCTTACAGAGCTTATGGAGCTTATGGAGGCGGGGTTGGAAGTCCAAGGAATATTGGCAATGGTGTTTATGTAGTATGAGGTCACCAATGCAATGGACTTAAGCTGAGGTGGAGTCAAAGTCCGAGGTCGGAGCTATGATGGAATCTCGGAGCAAAGGTACAAGCGATGTCTGAGTACAGGGTACAGGACAGCAGCAGAAGGTCGTAACTTGCCGGAGGGTCGGCAGGAGAGGGTCAGAGGAAGGAGAGAGGAGAGAGGAATGGGGAGAGGAGTGGAGTAGAGGAAAGGTGTCAGGTCCGGAGGTGAGTATCAGAGCGGACAGGAGAAGGGTAGGAGAGTGACAGAAGGGTGGAGGTGTCATGAGGAGTAAGAGGAGGAGTAGGAGGAGGAGTGTGAGGAGGAGGGTGGCGAGAGGAGTGGTGTTCGGTCTGAGGTGAGTATCGGAGCGGACAAGGATAAGGTAGGAGAAGGACAGAAGGGTGGAGGTGGCATGAGGGGTGAGGGGAGGTGTGGTGCCAGGTCTGAAGGTGAATATCGGAACGGATGGCGGTAGGGTAGGACTCTGGAGGTGGTGAAGATGGGGGTCCAGGAGTCGGTTTGGGATCAGGTATGTATGGATATTGTCATATCCGTCCCCGGCCATCAACTTCCGATCCCTCCGATCCCTCCGGTCTACCCCTGCTCCTTCTCCACTAACCTCGGAGCTCCTGTATTCCACAACTCCCTCGGTACCCCTCGATGGTCACCACCCCCTCCTTTCAATTTATTACCTACACCTCGCTAAGTACGGAGCCCCGAAGGCTTCCGGACAGCTCCGATGTCCGCTAGCGCACTCCCGCCTCCGCTGGACAATACACTTGCTTGCCCTGCAAAGCCCACCTTCGGGCCTATCCCTCCTTTCCGTTTCTGGGTTATCGCCTGCCTTTCCGCTAACCCCATAACCCAACTCATCGGTAATATTCAATCGGCTAATGTCTAACCCCATTAGCTCCGCTCCGCTCGGCTCCGCCATTTGCGGACCCGCCCTCACTGTAACTATATATACTTAACTTGTACATAGGTTACACTCCAGTAATAAAATCGACTAGAGTTTACCCTCTTCAGTTCTGGTGGCCAGTTAGTAAGTTAGGGCATGGACGTGTTTACTAGGCACAGCGCTCCTGGCATAAGTCGCTGAGGCTGAAGCCCTCCGTCACGGAGACACTCCTTCATCTCGACCTGGTCTCTGACAGATATGACATTATGCCAGGGAGGTTACTCCATCCCTGATGGTTATTCCAACAACACAAAGACTCGAAAGTTTCTAAGCTGGGTTCTGCTATTCAGATAATCCTAATGTTGATGGAGACAGACACCAATGGAGTGTAACTACCAAAAAACAGGCTTCCTGTAATTTTCCCATTTTTTTCTAGCAGTGCCCAATTTTGAGTTTTGGTGGACCCAGAAAAGTAAAACAGTGCAGTACTTGACTATGAAGGGGGTAGGATGGCTTCCATGGCAGCCATTGCAGCTTCTGACACAGTGTGGTGACTCTTTTGTTTCTTCACTGCTCATTCTGCAGCCTTCTGTCAGGGCACACCCACCTGACCTGGCTCCTGTCACGACCCGGCGTTCCCCAGGGCCAGACGACCTCCTCCCACGCCCGAACACTCCCCACACACTCCGCTCGCCGACCGTCGCCGTCTAACCACTTCCCGCCACCTCTCCACAACACCTCTCCCCTTTGTCGTTGAACGACCTAGCGGTGCAGAGCGCCGTGACCCGTTGTTCCATGTTTCGCCGCACCTTGTTATCTTGCGGCGAAGGTCACGCTTGACCTTCGCTGTCTTGAACACGTGCTCTTTGTTTGTTTTCCTGCTTCTTTTCTCCGCCCACAATCTCCGCGAGATCTGGCGACTTATTCCCTATTCAGTTCCCTAGCGCTTATATACAGCTTGTAACTAATGCTTGTACTGCAGTTTGAAATCAACTAGAATTACCCCCTAAAGCTTACCTCTGTCCCCCGTAAGACCTCCGACCTTCTGAAGTATCGGGACCGCGTTGAGAACGAGGCGCAACGCTCCTCCTCGAGTCGTTGAAGCCGAAATCCCGGCTCACTCGCCTAAGTAGCCTCAGCCTCGAGATCGGTGGGGTTTATCCCTCGCTAAAGCTCGGTCGTGCATAGGGCGCCTTTACCACTAGCAGGAAACGTTTGGTCGCCTGTGGCTACCATCAGCGAAGATTCGCATGGTTCTGACAGCTCCACCCACTCTGATCACGAGATATCAACATTATGAACAACAATAACTAATGCTAAAACATTCCCTCAGCACATCCCACGGAGGTCATGTCCTGAAAGCAAAAATAATTCAAAAATAGAAAACCTACAAAACCCCCCTGAAATGAGTGCAAAAGGAAATATACACGTGATCAGGGCCAAACAAAAAATGATGGGAATGTCCCCTCCCTGTCATTCCCCAACCCAACCCAATTACACAACCAAGATTATTATTACCATTGCAATGCTTGTGTATTGTAGAACATGCTCAGCATAGTTGTTTAGTGTGTTAGTGTAGCATTGCTTATCAGTATCATATATACATTGAAGTCATCCTTGTGCAATAACTGTGGCAAAAAAATCCACCAAGAATGAATTGAACCCACAGCAGCAGCGGGGTTCTGTGTCAGGGCATGCCCTGACACGCCCTGCCTGACCCCTGCTCCGCACCACTTCTCCCTCCTCTCCCTCTTCCTTTCTCCTTTCTTTCTCTCTTTCTTTCTCTCTCTCTTACACGGACCACCTTTCCTGCTGTTCAATGTATCACTGGCGCGCATGCCCATTTCCCCTCCTGTATCTTACCATCCCTATATTGCCACTACCACTGCCACACTTGCCCTGCACCCACAGCGGGCCCTCTCAGGATCTCCCGTGGAGGCACCCAGAGAGCCATGGCTGTGTCTGAGGGTGACATGGTGCGCCCCACGTGATCAACCCCGCATGTATATAATAACAGCTGGAGTGGGAACCGAAGAAGTAGCCTTCTTCTCACATTCCCACTTCAGACTAAGTGGTCGGGGATGCTCACCCCGCAATGGGATTGCCACTACACACAGCCGCTATTCGTCCCACTGAGTCCTGCATGCTGGGACCTCACCACTTTCGGAGCTGTCTGTCAGGGACCGGTCTGGGGTCGAGAGCGTCTGGGTATATCGCCTGGCGCTGAGGGCCCGGTGGGGTATGAAGCAGGCGCGTGCGGCAACGGGTCCGGCACAGGCAGACGTCCCTGAAGTGGGAATGGTGAGAAGAAGACTGCTTCTCTGGTTCCCACCCCAGGTATGTTTATATACATGGTGCTCAGGTCACATGAGAGTTGCCACGTCATCCCCATGCACAGCCCCAGCCACCCGGGTATCCCCATGGGGGATCCCAAAGGGATCCGCTGCAGGCGTGCATGCTGGGTGTACCCCAGGGTCGTCTGGAGCATCCGGGGTTG